GTTCAGGTTTTAAATGAAGAGGGGTAGGGGTAGGAATGGCACACCAACAAATGATGCCTTTTTGGAGTTTCTTTTGGAAGCAGGGGAGGGAGGGGAAAGGGAGGAATACCAAGATGACTGTCCAAGTAGAATGTACAGCAGTGGACTAATTAAGTTTCCCGAAAAACTTCAGCAGGTCAGCATCCCTTTGAAATCAATAGGCTAAATCAAGTATATAGAAGTTTTGCCAGATCAAGCCCTTAGTTAACACATTTAAAAAAATCACATTCAATTGCCATACAACTCCCAAGTAAATAGTTATCTGAAAATGTGGAAGAAAACAAAATCCTAGGTCAGGATTAATTTAACCACAGAGTTTTCGATCTGAATACTCTTTTTTCTGTTAACGTAGATTATTTGTTTCGGTGGATTTCAAGAACTTTTGACCAAATCATGCCCCTATTGGGAATTTTTCCAAAAAGTTGATCTGTTCCTTTGGAAAGATGTCATAATATAAGCAGATCATCAGTTGAGAGCAGAGATGGCTGTCAGCTACTTGAACATGTTAGGAAAATCAAATGCTGAAAAGAAACAGGATTGATCTGTAATACTGTATAGCCATATTTGAAGTTTATTTTTCAATTTGAAATATTACTATGATCGTGAAAAAATGAAAATGCAGAGTGTTCTATAGTCAAAATATTTGTGATGCCTGTAGGTGTATATTTAGTTCATAAATGCTTTTAAAACTCTATTTACATTACAGTAATGGAGACAAACAGCAGTTAATCATCAGTTAGTTTTCTTTATGGAAATTCTGGATGATAAATACAGGGTCTGTTTTCAGCATACAGCAACAGTAAGAATTTGAATTTGGCATCCACCAAAATTTCTGCTGTCACCTACTCTAAGACTGGCAATATGTGCAAGTCATCAGGTTGTAATGGGTTAGTATTTTATTTCCTTGTTACAACAGAAGATGAGCAAATTGGATTTCTTTTAGGAAACTAAAAGGCAAAAATATCATAAAGCATGATTGTGCTAAAAAAATGAGCACATACATATCTATAACATAGCCAAATTATTAGATCTGAAATCAAAGCCTGCTTCTCAAGAGCAAGAGGCTATCCATAACATGTACCTGCTTTCTAGATACTTCAATGGAGTAAATAGCAGCTAAGATAATATGTTACATGGTAATGAAAAAAATCATGTATTCAAAAACATTGTCAGCCTATCACAAATCACACTTTGAAGAGAAGTAGCTTAAATAAAAACCACACATTATGAGCCTGTTCCTTTGCCCAGGGAAATCAGATGCAAATATCTCCTTTGAGGAATGCGACTCATGAGGCCACAGAAACTACATAGAACAAGCTGTTGTCATGAGTTTTAGGAAGTGAATACAATTAATGATGCATTTATGTGAGATGCATACACTGACAACTAAACAGCGCTTCAGCCATACAACTCAAAAGGCCTGCTCCCAAGACCCAATTTTTTGTCAGGTCTCAATTTGTTCATCAGGTTAAAAGTACAGTGAGCTCATTTCTCAGCTGCATTCAGTGAGCACTGGGTGCAGCGGAGGTGGGGAGCCTGAAAGGAAGCATTTGTGATGCCTGATCCCAGTTCTATGCAGTGTTATAGAAAGAAGCCTGCTGGAGGATAGATCCATCACTGGTTATTAGATAACATGGTCAAGGAGGCAACCCCAAGATCCGTGTGTCCCTAGCCCTCCAACTGCAAGACAAGTTGGCTGGATGACAGAGGGTGGACCATCCAATAATTGCCCTGTTCTGTTCATCCCTTCTGAAGCATCTGACAATGGATACTGTCAAAAACAGGATACTGGACTAGATGGACCAGAATAGCTGTTCTTAAGTTCTCAGGGCTTCTTTAAACGTTACCCAGAATTGTGAAAAAAGCAGAGGAACATTTCATTCTCCCTGGTTAGGATCCCAATGTGGTGCCAAAACTGGACGTCTTTAGAAGGATGAGGTTGGACTGTGATAGTCAGACTGTGGCTCAAAAGCTGCAAGTGGGACTTACTGGCTACGTCTAGACTGCAAGCCTCTTTCAAAAGAGGCTTTTTCTAAAGATACTTTCAAAAAAGCCTCTTTCGAAAAATAGCATCTAGTCTACAACCAGTACTTTCGAAAAGCAAGCGCTTTTTCAAAAGATAGCTTTTTCAAAAGAGAGCAGTGCTTTCAAAAGACAGCACTGGATGCTCTCTTTTGAAAAAGCACAGTTTGCATTAAATAGCGCCTTTTTTCGAAAGAGTACTTTCAAAAAAAGGCATTATTCCTCATAAAACAATGTTTTCCATGGTCAAAAAAACTGCCGTGTTCTTTCGATTTACTTGTGAAAGAATGCAGCAGCAGTCTAGACACAGGGGAAGTTTTTTCGACAAAAGGCCACTTTTTTCGAAAAAACCCTGTAGTCTAGACACACCCACTGTGTCTTTACTGGCCACCATGGTGTGATTTAGCTATTAGTCAACTAATCTGGATGCTTTTACTGTGTTATTAACCAGTTTAGATGATAAAATCTTGGTCAGAATCACCAGATAGATACATACATAAATGCTGTACTTATCCTGCCGTACTTATCCAAAGGCTGCAGGATTGTGCCCTAAAATCTGAGTAAAAGTGGAAAGATTCAGGGCCCAATCCTGCATATATGCTAAAGCAAAACTAGCACACAGCCAGAGACAAGTTTGTTGGATTAATCTCTTAATTACAAGTTAAACCCAACGTTTATGTACAAATTACTGTTTCTATTAATCTTTGCAAACAATATAAAATAAGGAACAATACAAAAAACAATACTTCTCATTCAATTTAAAGAAGAGATAAAATAATCAAATATGGTCTTCTCCAACCTAAACCAAAGTGTGATTTGAAATACAACTAGCCTGTATCTACATTGGCAAAATTTAGCGCAAAAGCAGGCGCTTCTGTGCAAAATCTTGTCGCCTGTCTACACTGGCCACGAGTATTTGCGCGAGAACACTGACGTTCTACTGTATGAAATGAGTGCTTCTTGCGCAAATACTCTGATGCTCCCGCTCAGGGATAAGTCCTCTTTCGCAAGTGTTCTTGCGCAAGAGCCCAGTGTAGACAGATAACATCAATTTCTTGCGCAAGAAAGCCCGATGGCTAAAATGGCCATTGGAGCTTTTTTACGCAAGACAGCGTCTACACTGGCACGGATGCTTTTGCACAAAAGCAAATCTTTTGCGCAAAGGCACATGCCAGTATAGATGCTCTCTTACTCAAATACTCTAATGCAAAAACTCTTGCAGTTAGAGTATTTGCGCTAAATCTTGCCAGTCTGGACATAGTCCCAATAACTGAAACTTTAAGGTCTTAAACTTAGTTGGGTATGTTTTTTTTTATTAGTGACACAAAATGAAGTGGGATTGTGTGCCATTTAAAAATTTTACTTCAGTTTGGATCTTATTTCCTTCTGGTAAATCCAGAATAACACTTTTACATTGTTTGACAAAACTATAAATGTGCAAGGCTCATCTATCAACTGTTCTTCATCAAGAGCAGCTTTCAAATCAACATTTGTCTGCCCGCATAGACCAGATGTCATGCCATTTTACAATGTAATTCCAATTTACTGACAACAGCAACACTTCATTACAAAAGCAAGAAATTGTTAGCCAACAGTTTGAAGCATCACTCGGGTGCAGCACTTCTAACGCTTGCACCAGAAGACATTTATATCATGTCATCTTAGTTCTTAGTATGTTTTCAACATTAAGGAAAGTCGAATTGATGCTGTTAGCCACATTTCAGGAGCAAGAGTGGGAGGGCAGTTTCACAAGTTGTCATTTAATTTTAACAAGTTTAGGAATTAAGAGCTCAACATCACTCCCAGTGAAGTCATAGACCCATAGAAACACAGACTTTAAGGTTAGAAAGAACCATCACAATCATCTAATCTGACACACTGAATATCCCAGGCCACAGAACCTCACCCACACCCATTTACAATAGACCCCTAACTTCTGGCTGAATTAATGAAGTCCTCAAATCATGGCTTAAAGACTTCAAGTTACAAAGACTCCATCATTTATACTAGTTTAAACGAGAAAGTGACCCATATCCCATGCTGCAAAGGCAGGTGAAACCTCCCCCCTTGCTCTCTGCCAATCTGACCCCAGAGAAAATTCCTTTCCAACCTCAAGTGTGGTGATGAGTTGAACTCTGAGCATGCTGGCAAGACCCACAAGCCAGAAGAAAATTCTCGGTGCTAACTCAGAGCCTTCACCATGTAGTGCTCCAGCCATGGGAATTTTTGCTACTAGCAATCACATATGGGCCACATACCATTGGAGGCAAGTTTCATCAGACCATTCTCCCCACAAACTTGTCAAACTCAGTCCCGACCCCAGTTAGGTTTTTTGCCCCTATTGCTCTCCTTGGAAGGCTGCAGCAGAACTTCCCTTCTCTGATTATTTGCAACCTTTAATTTCAGCCTAAACTTGTTGATGGCCAGTTTATATCCATGTGTTCACACAGGCGCGTAACTTTAGTAATTCCTCTTCCTGTTCGATATTTATGTATCTGATGCATTTATAGAAAGCAATCATATTCCCCCTCAGTCTTCATATGATTAGATTAAAGAAGCTGAGCTCTTTATGTCTCTTCATGTAGGGCAGGTTTTTCCATTCCTTACACATACAATCAGGGTAGGTTTGGAATTCTAATGGTCACTTCAGCCAGTTTTTCCCAGCATCATAGGCTGTCCAAGCTAGTATGTAGCAGATAAGGAGCCCCCAATAGGTTTTCTAATTGGAATAATAATGTTTGTTGGTTATCTATCCCCCTCCTCCTACATCCCATGCCACTTAGTTTATGAGTTTCTGGCTCCTGCGAGGGTGGTCATGCTGCTTGTCTAAGAACTCTGCTGGGTTCAGGAGAAAGTAGCAGCCCTTGCCTTAAAAGCCTTAAAGCTATTGAATGATGAGGAGCAGGTGTCTTAAACGTATGGTGAAGAGAGGTCAGCCCCTCATTCCTCCAGAAGATATTTAAGGTAAGGAAGAATGAAGCGCTCCTGCAGTGTTCCTTAACCATCAGATGATTTTTCAATAAGTCAAGACATCTGAATGTCCCTGGTTGCTTTATAATCAATATTGGTTGAATAATAATAATTTTTCATCAAGAAATGCTCATCAGATAGATATAGTTTTTAATTTAAAATTAAAAATTAAACCAATTAACAAATGCTGGTGCCTATGACTGCAACATGATGATCTCGAGGCTTTTGAGATATTTAGCACAAGGCATTTGACATGAGTTTTCGTCAGTCTGAATATTTATAGACATCAATTTCAAAAATCACAGACACATTTTGAGTGCTTCAAATAGTGTGTGTGTGTGTGTGTGTGTGTGTGTGTGTGTGTGTGTGTGAGAGAGAGAGAGAGAGAGAGAGAGAGAGAGAGAGAGAGGGAGACAGGGAGCCCACTGTGGATTGTTAATAATTATAAATTATTTAACTGTAGCATCACTGGATTTTTTTCAGATGTATGTTTTCTTTTGTTCCTCCTGAGATGGCTTCTAATTGCAATTATTTCCTTGCTTTACAGTTTTACCACTTCTGGTGAAGGAGTGTCAGTCAGGTAGAGTAACTTTTTTCCCCTCACATAGTAGAAGGTAATATCCATTTGGGGAAAATTCTAAATTTTGATGTTAAATGTCTCTTGAAAGATCCATCTCCACATTTTTCTGAATGCAAACTGCATCTGGGATTAGAAGCTGACCCTTTCAGTTTGGCACGTCTGCATAATTCCTATTTTGTGAGAATTGTTTAAAGGTGTAGGAGCCACATGAGGAAAAACTAACTGGCTGCATCTAGACTGGCAAGTTTTTCCGCCAAAGTGGCTACTTTTGTGCAAAAACTTGCCAGCTGTCTACACTGGCCACTTGATTTTGCACAAAAGCACTGACATTCTACTGTCTGAAATCAGTCCTTCTTGTGCAAATGCTTTGACGTTCCCGTTTGGGCAAAAGCCCTTTTCCGGAAACGTTTTTGCACAAGAGGGCCAGTGTAGACAGCTAAAAACTGTTTTGCGCGAAAAAGCCCTGATGGCGAAAATGGCAATCGGGGCTTTCTTGTGCAAAACCGTGTCTAGATTGGCTCGGACGCTTTTCTGCAAAAAGTGCTTTTGCAGAAAAGCGTCCGTGCCAATCTAGACGCTCTTTTCCACAAATGCTTTTAACAGAAAAACTTTTCCGTTAAAAGCATTTGCGGAAAATCATGCCAGTCTAGACGTAGCCACTGTGTTTACTACTGCATTTCCATTGATATGTTTGGTAGAATGGTTTGCAGGATTGGGTCCTATTTGGATACTTGATTTGCTCATTGGTTGCTGAATGACTTACAATTACACAACTGAGTTTTGAATACATGGACCGACTCCTCATAGATTTGTTTCCTTTCAGACTACAGGATTTCAATTATTCTCAGTATCCATATCTCCATTCTTCATGGCTGAAGGAAAGGTCTAGAAGGGAAATGTTGTAGTCTTTCCAAAGTGGAGATGGAAGTAACTTGCAATAGATAGGAGGCTTCTAGTTGGAACATTGCTGTTTACCCACAGTAGGTGGGTAAAGGTGATCTAACATTGCTCTTTACCCACAGTAGGTGACACCTTCCTATATTTTTATGGTCTATATTACATTTCTGTTGCTTAATTTTCCTGCTACAACTTTAGCCTCCTGTCTCCTTACCATGTAAGTTACACTGCCTTATATTCACTGACACCAATTAACAGGCATGTTAATTACACACCCAATTTCTTCACACTGGACATTAGCCAATTGTTTGTTTCTTCCAAGGATGGTGCATTATTTCATAAGTTCATTACAGTAGAACAATCTGCTGTAAAATGTACACTGTAGACCACACTCCTTTTACTTTTCATTCAGATTCTTGTTTTCCTCCAGTAATATATTTTGCAATTTCCTTCTGAAATATCTGACCTGTGAATAAGGGTCAGTTCTTACCTCTATATATCAGTAAGTGAAGAAGGATCCAAGAGGCATGGAAACAGCTCAGGGATATTGTACCTGCTGATGATGTGTACTAAAATGTTGGTGATTTTATGAAATTTATGGTCTGCTTTCCACACAGGGAGCTGGCAGTTTCTGGTAAACATGGCCAAATCCTGTGGATTTTGTCCATCACTATCCACCACTGGAATGGAGGGCTGTTTGACACTGGCTTCATCCTGCAAGCTTTTTCCTCCTGCACCAGTCTCTGCAAGCAGTGGAGAGGAAATTAACGTCCTTTCCCACATAGCTACTTTTCCCTCTACCCTTTCTTACCATTACACTTTATTTATGAATGTTTACTCCTCCCTGCACTATCAGTCAGGGGAAACATTTGCTCCCTGAGGCGTTATTTTTAGCCAGGCAGTTGTGTGGTTGTGGCTATGCTTTAGTGTATTCATTCAGGAGAAAATGCAAAGATTTGATTTTTTAAACACAGCTTCTTAAATTACTATTCTTCATCCATAATGAATCCTGATTTTGAATGTAAAACACTTTTTCTAATTCCTTTCATGTCCCCATCAAGCTTAAGTTTGAACACACCATTTTATTTTCGCTTCAGCAGCTGTTGTTTTTCTATATATGTGTATATATATATCAAATCTGTTCCTAATACTTACTGGCATTAATGGTAGTCTAGGCTGCCAGATTGCCAGCATACTGATTTTTTAAATAGCATAGCATTTCAGATGTTTGAAATTAAGCAGATGATAGGACCCTTAGCCACAATTGTTGCACTCTTTCTCCTGTCTGAGTGCTGGTTCTGCTGCTTGCAGAGAGGGACAAGATTTTGTTTAATGTGCAGCTTGAAAGAGGAGTTTATTATTGGTAGCTACTTAACAAAAACCAATAATCGACCATTTAAAAATAGTAATAATTACATATTTAATTTATGTCCTGCAAGCTAAATTTAGAGATGAGATCAACATTGAATTTAATTACAGTATTTGTACAACCAAATATCATGATTGTTACTCTTTGCTTCTGCCCTCAAAGCCACTGTACGCAGCCACAAAAAGGCTGTTACCTATTTTGAAAGGGGGTAGTTACCTCCACCATGAAAATGCCTCACAGTATTTGTAGTTATATGACTGCTCAGGACATGTATGATGGGGACATTCCCTTTCCCATGGAGAGTTGCAGACTTTGTTTCTCCCAAATAACATACCTGCAAGTGAGCCGTTGATGAGTTGAAACAAAATACAGGACTATGTAGCACTTTAAAGACTAACAAGATGGTTTATTAGGTGATGATCTTTCATGGGCCAGACCCACTTCCTCAGATCAAATAGTAGAAGAAAATAGTCACAACCATATATACCAAAGGATACAATTAAAAAAATGAACACATATGACAAGGACAAATCAAATTTCAGAACATAAGGGGGATGCGGGGGGGGGGTGAAGGTTTATATGCACTGATCATGTGTCCTTTAATGAACGAATCTCAGGGCATGGCTCCTCCTTTGTGAGGGATTTTTGACAAGAGAGACATGAACTGGTCAATACTGGTGAAGTGCTCATCTTTTCACTTAGTTCACAAGACAGCAGTACCATGCATTCTTCATTCGACACAGCTGGAAAAGTGTCAGCTACCAAATCACTAGCACTACTTCTTTCAGCACCCTGAGATCTCTCTTAGAGATTGCTCATGCAAGCATTATTGTAATCTGATCTTGTTCAGCTGCTGATGGGATCAAAGCCAAAGTTTACAGGCTAATATTCAACACCAGGGGCCCAGTGGATAATTATGAGTTGACTATAGAGCATGTATGTCCTTCAGTCTCAAAGAAAGCGTTGCTATAGAAGTCTGAAAGGCTGTAGTACTGAGGAAACTGACCTGCACCAAATGAAAGGAAACAGGGGGCTAAAAAAGGAGTCAGGAAACTGACTCCAGTTAAAAGTCAGAGGGAGTTACATACCTCCTTTCACATGTAGGGGCTGGGCTACACTACCTCTTTAAGTCAATGTAACTTAAATCGCTCAGGGGTGTAAAAATCCCACTCCCTGAGTGATGTAAGTTACATCAACTTAAGTGCTGTCCACATTACATCATGTTGGTGGAAGATACTTTCTTGCTGACCAAGGGTGTGTCTACACTGCACCGCTATTTTGAGCTAACTAGTGTTATTTCAAAATAACAATGCGAGCATCTACACAGCCATTCCATTATTTTGAAATAATTTTGAAATAATGGATGGCTTATTCCAAAATCTGTAAACCTCATTCTATGAGGAATAATGCCTATTCCAAAATAGCTATTTTTGAAATAAAGTGTGTGTAGACGCTCCACTGCTGCTATTTTGAAATAGTCCTTCACCAGGGCCATTCTAAGTTATTCCTCCTCAGTGCTTCCTGGGGCTCTAAATCGAGATAGCATGCCTACATTAGGGAAGCCTGCCTCGGACTAATATTGAGGCTTCCCTGCAGTGTAGACATGCTATTTTGAAATAAGCATGCAGCGTAGACGTACTCTTACATTTTGTCTCATTGAGGTGGAGTAATTATTCTGATGGCAGAGTGCTGTCCCTCTGACATAACATATTGTCACTAGGCATGTTGCAACGGTGCAGATGCATCTATGCAGCTACACCACTGTAACATGGTAGTGTAGATGTGCCCTCTGAGGACAAATCAGGAGCACAGAATAATAAACAGAACAAGGACAGACTACACACCCAAAAGGAAGAAATACTATTTGAAGGCAGAAAAGCTTTTCTCTGCATTGTCTCAAAAAATATTTTCCATGGTGGATGAGAAGAATGCAATGTTTCAGGTCCACAATACTAAGAACATTCTCCCACCTTGGAATTTTGTGAAAAATAGACTTGTTTGTGCTAATGCCTTCTGAAAACTATAACTTCGCAATTCCATCCCCAACTAGTGAGCCTGTGTGATTGGCCTCCTTTTTAAAGGGTAGTTGGGACACATGCTAAGGCATTTAAAAAAAAAAAGTACTCGAAAGATTCTGATCTTCCAGAGGCTCACCTTTACAAGTTTTCCTACACTCTGATTCATGAAGGCATAATCAAACTTTCAAATATCGATCTTCTTCTCAAGGGAGTTGTGATGCAGAATGGCTTGTTCTAAAATAAAAACAACAAGTGGTCCTGTAGCACCTCAGCCATGTCTACACTAGGAAATTATTTCTAAATAACGTATTTTGAAATAAGTCCTGAAATAACTATTTCAAAATAGCATGTCCACGCTACAGGGGAGCTTTGAAATTAGTCCAAGGCAGGTTCTGTTAATGTTGGACATGCTGCTTCAACTTAAGAGCCCCAGGAATCACAGGGTGTAATTAATCTGAATTCCTCTGGGGTGTAGTTATTTCAAATAGCATCAGTGGAGCATCCACATTACTGTTATTTTGAAATAACTATTTTGAAATAAGCCTGAAATAACCAGCCCCTTCTTTTGAAGCAATGGGTTTGGTAGTATGGATGCTCCACTTGTTATTTTGAAATAACTCCTTAGCGTAGACCAGGACTAAGGGTATGTCTACACTACCCCGCTAGTTCGAACTAGCGGGGTAGTGTAGACATACCCTTAGTCCTGGTCTACGCTA